ATATACTTATAGCGACTTTATATACCTGACGCAGAGCTTTATGTGTCCTTACATTGCAATTATCACGTCTTCTCCCGTAATTCGAGTGTCACGTTTACTTCGTTTTCACTTCCTCTGACTTGAACCGCTCTGCCAGCAGTGTGACTGATTCGAACCAGGACCATTGTTTACGCAGTCCAGAAAGAAAACGACTGAGACATTTATAAGCCTAATTGCTATTTTGTACAAAACACTGGATATTCCCAGGGATTCAGGGGCCACGTCAACACCATGGCGTTAGTAAGTGAACAGCTTAGTTTTCTTATGAATGGGAACATCAGTGGCGGCACTTTCATTAGTAAATGTATTGTTAATGGCTAAGGCGTTTTCATACTTTTCTCAGGGTTTTTTTCAGACAGGAAGATTTGACAGTCTTTTTTGGAGCATCCTGTACAAGACAACATTAAAATATTACACGCTTTTTCTTTACCTTTTCGACTAAATTCAACTTAAAATCAGATTTTTTAAAAGAATGCTATGTCAATTTCAACAGGAATAAAATAACATTTTTATAAGTTAAAAGTTTGCTTTTGTTTTTAAAGGGCAGAAAAACGTAACCGCAAGTTCACAAAAAATGACTACTTTTTTCAGTATCCCTACCACACCCCACCTTCCCATCTCCTTCCTGGCCTGCCATATTTCTTTTCTCCGTCTCAATTATTTCCCTGCCTAATTCCTCCATCCCCACAGTTCAATGCGCACCTCCATTAACCTACTGTTTCTGAACCTATGCCTGGCTGACCTCTTCGGTCTGGTCATCACTGGACCCACCGTGGTTGTGGACATGTTTGCCCGGGAGGTCTGGTACCTGGGACCCTTCATGTGTGAGTACAGCTTTGTGTATACTCCTCTTGCATGTGTGTTTGTCCTTTTGTCATGTTTGAATTTGTCGCTTTTGAGGACAAGCGGGCTAACCCAGATTTCGGGGGTTTCCAGAAAACTTGACCCACACCAAAAGCGGGCTTTGCCCTACCTATAGGAGAAGTTTGGTTTCATTGGTGTGTATATTTGTCTGGTTAGAGAGAAAACATTCTTTGTCTTTTAAAGAAACAGAGCAAGGGTCCAAAAACTTTTGTTTCGATTTTCTCAAAAACGCATTTTTTTCTTGACTGCCCACTTGTGCTTAAAAGCGACCAATTAGGTGTGTGGTATACTGGTAGGTCATCGTGCTTAACATTAAAAACCTTTATGTTCCTTTGCTGGAGCATCGGTGTCCACGTACACAGCTGGCCGGAGCATGTTGTCTAACATTTCAGGCGCCTCGCCGTCGCATGCAGGAGACCAGATTTCGTTTCCCGAGTGGGGAGAGAGCATCTCCGTCTTTGTGTTGGGAGGTGAAATATTCACCTGTTTATGTTCAGATCTGTATGAAGACTTTGAATAATCGAATCGAAACCGAGAATAACAGTAACAGTCTCTTGTATCTGAAGTGTGTACAACATCATGGCTTGGTGAGATCTCCTCTGCTTCCTAAGGCCACCGAATAATAGGATAACCTTCTTCAGCTGTACACAACTATCTACACTCATTGTGTGATATTAGATTTTATCTAGTAGTGGCGTGATTATACGATTCTCGCTGAACATTTACTCTGTAAGAGAGAGAGAGAGAGAGAGAGTGAGAGAAAGAAAGCGATAGATAGACAGACAGATAGATAGATAGGTAGATAGATAGATAGATAGATAGATAGATAGATAGATAGATCGAACTGTTCCAATTCTATCGACCATTCTTTTTTCCACCTCCGGGTTTATCTTTTATTTCCAGTTCTTCCCTCTTTTCAATCCTCTCTCTTTTTCCCATTTCTCCGTTACCGTTTCTCTCTCTCTCTCTCTCTCTCTCTCTCTCTCTCTCTCTCTCTCTCTCTCTCTCTCTCTCTCTCTCTCACTCTCTCTCTATCTCTCTCTATATATATCTATCTATCTATCCCTCCTCTGTCTCTGTCTTTTTTCTCCTCATTTCTCTTTCTCTCTGTCACTCTATCTTTTTTTTCCTCTTACAGCTATTTTCAGTACACAGATGAAAGAGAACCGCCCCCTCCCAACCCCCCCCCCCCCCCCAAAAAAAAAAAACCAACAAAAAACCCAACAACAATCATACATGTGACAGATTCTCTTTGTCTTCCTGCGTTCTAGTCTTTGGTTTTGAGCGCGTTCAAGCTGAGTGGCGAACCATAATTACTGATGCCTGTCTCTGTTCTGGCACTGTAGCTTCTTTGTCTGGCAGTAAAAAATAAGAAGTGAGATTGTGAACACGTGGCCAGATTTGAGGGCAGGTGTGGCTTATTCTGAGAATTAGTTTCATGTAGGGTTTGAGATTATTGTCAGGTGTCATCCTCTACTATACACGTTATTGTTCACTTGCGACATACCACCTAGCGCCCCTCTTCGAGGTAGAGCGTAACAAGATCAAGTGAAACAAAGGTCAGAAATGATAATCCAGAGTTTCGAATCTGCTTCGCCCTGGAGCAGCCAAGTGAATAACCAGCGGCCCGCTGTATGAAGGAAAGACATGATTGAGATATGGGTGAGACATGGCATGGACATGTGCCATATTTGGGCAAGAAAAGTGTCCTTTGGGTTTGACATGGGGTAAAGATGCTCTCTGTTGCCACGGACCTCTCTTTGACTATACCCCAATGGTGCAGATGTTGGGAACTGCCTGTTTATCTCAGTTCTATTTCAATTTCGAGCACAAAAGACCCAGAATGAATTGAGAAAATAATCTAGATTTCGATTTCTTTTTTTTAAGGTCGAGAGTTAAGTAGTTTTTTTCAAGGTCGCTAGTTGAATCGGTCGTATTGTGCCAAAATGGTAGTTTTAGTACCTCTATGAAGAAAAATATATTGCTCTGGGTGTTACTGTGTCGGGTGTGGAGAGATCTTTTTCCCTATGACAGTACCAGCAGGGGCGTGGCGATGTCTTCGTTTGCTGTCTGTATCCGCTCAGATGATGGAGTAATAGATCTATTGCCATATATGTTTGAAGTCATATTATTGGAAGCGTTCTTTATAACAATTTTTCTATCAAACAAGACAACTTCCTGATAGCTAAACCCCACTTTGTATCTTTGTTTACTGATCTAGCACTATAAGTAATAAACACGACGTTATTACGAGTTGTACGGTTTTTGATTTCTCTTAATAAGCTGGGACAAAATTAGCTGACAAAATTAAATCAGTACCCTAGAAATAGTCACACCCAGAAAACAGAGAATAAAGGATAAACTCGACAACTTCTTTAAAATGTATATGGTACGAGTGGTATTAACCAGTGGAGGAGGGGGGGGGGGAGGGGTACGCCCATCTTTGAGAGGTATTTATATCTCAGCCGTCGGGGTCGTCTAATCTCGCCACAGAAATCTGGGAACGATGTCGGAGCAGAGCTCAATATTTAACCCCGAAACTCCCCCAAACAACCAGACAAAGGCAATCACGCCAAATCAGACTGTAAAGTCCAAAGTGTAGCCAATACGCGAGAGGTTAGCGACCACGTGACAGAAGCCTGCACAGAAGTTACGTCAGCAACCAGCAGGAAGTAGCCGTCATTCGACTCGGGTTTCTCTCAATCCCCTGTTGCTGAGGAGACACGTCGGGCGAGACTATGGCTTCCACAGAGCCGTCTCCAGCGACCCCCAGGGTAGTCAGAGGACTCTCCCGGCAGGGTTTCTCTGTCTCTTAATGTAACTCGGCTACTTAGACTTGTTCCGAAATGCACACAACCCCTATCTCACACTTCATCTGTCAGGATTTGCCTGAAAACGCAGACGAATAAAGAACTCATTCATCAACACCCCCTCCCCGCCTTAGTCTCTCTTCCCCCTCACCCCCTCCTCCTCCTCCTCCCCCTCCTCTCTCTCTCTCTCCCACTCTCTCTTTCTCTCTCTCTCTCTCTATCTATCTCTTTCCCCCCTCTCTCTCCTTCATTCTCTCGTACTCTCTCACTTTATCTCTCCCCCACCCCCCGCCTTTCTGTTTCATCTTCAAAAAGTACAACTCTCAAAAAATAATCCTCTCCCTATTGATCTGTCCACCTTTTGACTTCTGTTTGCAAAGGAAAACTTTTTAATAAATAATATATAGA